TTTGAAAATAGAATTAATAGATTTAATTTGTTTACTGTAGACATCCGTCGTCAGTGACAGGACGCAGTTTTAAAGAACAAAACGCTTTTTTGTTATTTAGACGATTCCAAATCATGACACGAGCTTAACAACGGGACCAAATCCAAGGTCAAATTATGTTAAGATTAAGAAAAAGATGTGGTAAAATTAATAACAGAAATAACATCGAAAGTGAATGAACTTAAAGCGTACTATATTTACTAATTATAATTAATGTGCCTCTGATAATATACAGGCCTGCGTGGAAGTGAATGTCTATATAATATACATACATACATATATGGAAGTGAATGTCCGTATAATATACAAACCTGTATGGAAGTGAATGTCTACATAATTTACAGACCTGTATGGAAGTGAATGTCTATATAATATACAGACCTGTATGGAAGTGAATGTCTATATAATATACAGACCCGTATGGAAGTGAATGTCTATATAATATACAGACCTGTGTGGAAGTGAATGTCTATATAATATACAGACCTGTATGGAAGTGAATGTCTAAATAATATACAGACCTGTATGGAAGGGAATGTCTATATAATATACAGACCTGTACGGAAGTGAATGTCTATATAATATACAGACCTGTATGGAAGTGAATGTATGTATGGGAGTGAATGTATGTATGGAAGTTGATGACCATATAATATACAGACCTGCATGGAAGTGAATATCTATATAATATACAGACCTGTATGGATGTGAATGTCTATATAATATACAGACCTGTATGGAAGTGAATGTCTATATAATATACATACATACATATAAGGAAGTGAATGTCCGTATAATATACAGACCTGTGTGGAAGTGAATGTCTATATAATTTACAGACCTGTATGGAAGTGAATGTATGTATGGAAGTGAATGTCCATATAATATACAGACCTGCATGGAAGTGAATGTCTATATAATATACATACCTGTATGGAAGTGAATGTCCATATAATATACAGACCTGTATGGAAGTGAATGTATGTATGGAAGTTAATGTCCATATAATATACAGACCTGCATGGAAGTGAATGTCTATATAATATACAGACCTCTATGGAAGTGAATGTATGTATGGAAGTGAATGTATGTATGGAAGTGAATGTCCATATAATATACAGACCTGCATGGAAGTGAATGTCTATATAATATACAGACCTGTGTGGAAGTGAATGTCTATATAATATACAGACCTGTATGGAAGTGAATGTCTATATAATATACAGACCCGTATGGAAGTGAATGTCTATATAATATACAGACCTGTGTGGAAGTGAATGTCCATATAATATACAGACCTGTATGGAAGTGAATGTATGTATGGGAATGAATGTATGTATGGAAGTTGATGACCATATAATATACAGACCTGCATGGAAGTGAATGTCTATATAATATACAGACCTGTATGGAAGTGAATGTATGTATATAAGTGAATGTATGTATGGAAGTGAATGTCCATATAATATACAGACCTGCATGGAAGTGAATGTCTATATAATATACAGACCTGTGTGGAAGTGAATGTCTATATAATATACAGACCTGTATGGAAGTGAATGTCTATATAATATACAGACCTGTATGGAAGTGAATGTCTATATAATATACAGACCTGTGTGGAAGTGAATGTCTATATAATATACAGACCTGTATGGAAGTGAATGTCTAAATAATATACAGACCTGTATGGAAGGGAATGTCTATATAATATACAGACCTGTACGGAAGTGAATGTCTATATAATATACAGACCTGTATGGAAGTGAATATCTATATAATATACAGACCTGTATGGAAGTGAATGTCCGTATAATATACAGACCTGTATGGAAGTGAGTGTCTATATAATATACAGACCTGTATGTAAGTGAATGTCTATATAATATACAGACCTGGGAGTGAATGTCTATATAATTTACAGACCTGTATGGAAGTGAATGTCTATATAATATACAGACCTGTATGGAAGTGAATGTCTATATAATATACAGACCTGTATGGAAGTGAATGTCCATATAATATACAGACCTGTATGGAAGTGAATGTCTATATAATATACAGACCTGTGTGGAAGTGAATGTCTATATAATATACAGACCTGTATGGAAGTGAATGTCTATATAATATACAAACCTGTATGGAAGTGAATGTCTATATAATATACAGGCCTGTATGGAAGTGAATGTCTATATAATATACATACATATATGGAAGTGAATGTCCGTATAATATACAGACCTGTGTGGAAATGAATGTCTATATAATATACAGACCTGTATGGAAGTGAATGTCTATATAATATACATACATACATATAAGGAAGTGAATGTCCGTATAATATACAGACCTGTGTGGAAGTGAATGTCTATATAATATACAGACCTGTATGGAAGTGAATGTATGTATGGAAGTGAATGTCCATATAATATACAGACCTGCATGGAAGTGAATGTCTATATAATATACATACATATATAAAAGTGAATGTCCGTATAATATACATATCTGTATGGAAGTGAATGTATGTATGGAAGTGAATGTCCATATAATATACAGACCTGCATGTAAGTGAATGTGTATATAATATACATACATATATGGAAGTGAATGTCCGTATAATATACAGACCTGTATGGAAGTGAATGTATGTATGGAAGTGAATGTCCGTATAATATACAGACCTGTGTGGAAGTGAATGTCTATATAATATACATACATATATGGAAGTGAATGTCCGTATAATATACAGACCTGTGTTGAAGTAAATGTATGTATGGAAGTGAATGTACATATAATATACAGACCTGCATGGAAGTGAATGTCTATATAATATACAGACCTGTATGGAAGTGAATGTATGCATGGAAGTGAATGTCTATATAATATACAGACCTGTGTGGAAGTGAATGTATGTATGGAAGTGAATGTCTATATAATATACAGACCTGTATGGAAGTGAATGTCTATATAATATACAGACCTGTATGGAAGTGAATATCTATATAATATACAGACCTGTACGGAAGTGAATGTCTATATAATATACAGACCTGTATAGAAGTGAGTGTCTATATAATATACAGACATGTATGGAAGTGAATGTCTATATAATATACAGACCTGTGTGGAAGTGAATGGCTATATAATATACAGACCTGTATGGAAGTGAATGTCTATATAATATACAGACCTGTATGGAAGTGAATGTCTATATAATATACAGACCTGTATGGAAGTGAATAT